AAAGATTATTTTTGGCCCAATTCATATTAACCCCAGTCAGGAAAGGGGACCCAATAAGCAGTCCAGTAAGAGGGTTCAAATTTTTTCTGCTGAAATTATAATCACCATAATCCCAACATTCTGCCTTCCACAAGAAAGGTCAGGTTGGGGATGGGTCATTTGCCTGATCTGATAAAGCGATTTTTTGTATGGGGAGTTGAAGTCACTGGATGGTGACGCTCTATAACTCAGTGGTTTCATGTGTTGATGGGACCAGGGACCCATTTCTGGATTCACTGATGTATTTGACTGTTAGTACTGAGTACCTACATGCAAGGCACTCTGGGGGAAAAACTTATCTCAAAGTGCTTTTCACCCTCCACAGAAGTTTCTTGTTTGACCTGAACAGTACTTTTTTTTATTTAGAAAAATATTTTTAAATCTGGAGATTTTATTTAAAACTTTGAGTATATATATATATATAATTGCACTTTAGGTTCTGGGATACATGTATAGAATGTGTAGAACATGCAGGATTGTTGCATAGGTACATACTTGGCAATGTGGTTTGCTGCCTCTATCCCCCTGTCACCTATATCTGGCATTTCTCCTCATGTTATCCCTCTCCAACTCCCTATCCCCCACCATCCCTCCCCTATTCCCCCCCAACAGACCCTAGTGTGTGATGCTCCCCCTGTGTCCATGTGATCTCATCATTCAACACCTGCCTATGAGTGAGAACATGCAGTGTTTGTTTTTCTATTCTTGTGCCAGTTTTCTGAGAATGATGGCTCCCAGATTCATCCATGTCCCTACAAAGGACAAAAACTCATCCTTTTTTATGGCTGCATAATATTCCATGGTGTATATGTGCCACATTTTCCCTGTCCAATCTATCATTGATGGGCATTTGGGTTGGTTCCAGGTCTTCGCTATTGTAAACAGTGCTGCAATGAACATTCGTGAACATGTGTCTTTATAATAGAATGATTTATAATCCTTTGGATATATACCCAGTAATGGGATTGCTGGGTCAAATGGAATTTCTATTTCTAGGTCCTTGAGGAATTGCCACACCATCTTCCACAATGGTTGAACTAACTTACACTCCCACCAGCAGTGTAAAAATGTTCCTATTTCTCCACATCCTCTCCAGCATCTGCTATCTCCAGATTTTTTAATGATCGCCATTTTAACTGGCATGAGATGGTATCTCAATGTGGTTTTGATTTGCATTTCTCTAATGACCACTGATGATGAGTATTTTTTCGTATGTTTGTTGGCCTCATATATATCTTCTTTTGAAAAGTGTCTATTCATATCCTTTGCCCATTTTTGGATAGGTTTGTTTGTTTTTTGTTGTAAATTAGCTTTAGTTCTTTGTAGATTCTGGATATTGACCTTTGTCAGATAGGTAGATTGCAAATTTTTTTCCCATTCTGTTGGTTGCCAGTTCACTCCAATGATTGTTTCTTTTGCTGTACAGAAGCTCTGGAGTTTAATTAGATCCCATTTGTCTATTTTGGCTTTTGCTGACAGTGCTTCTGGTATTTTAGTCATGAAGTCCTTGCCTATGCCTATGACGTGCATGGTTTTGCCTAGGTTTTCTTTTTGGGTTTTATGGTGTTAGTTCTTATGTTTAATTCTTTAATCCATCTGGAATAAATTTTAGTGTAAGGTGTCAGAAAGGGGTCCAGTTTCTGCTTTCTGCACATGGCTAGCCAGTTATCCCAGCACCATTTATTCTACAGGGAATCCTTTCCCCACTGTTTGTTTTTGTCAGGGTTGTCAAAGATCAGATGGTTGCAGATGTGTGGCATTTCCTCCAAGGCCTCTGTTCTGTTCCATTGGTCTGTATCTCTGTTTTGGTACCAGTACAATGCTGTTTTGATTACTGTAGCCTTGTAGTGTAGTTTGAAGTCAGGTAGTGTGATGCCTCCAGCTTTGTTCTTTTTGCTTAGAATGGTCTTGGCTATGCAGGCTCTCTTTTGGTTCCATGCGAAATTTAAGGTGCTTTTTTCCAGTTCTGTGAAGAGGGTCATAGGTAGCTTGATGGGGATCGCATTGAATCTATTGAAGATTTCTGCATCTGTGTTCATCATGGATATCGGCTTAAAATTTTCTTTTTTCGTTGAGTCTCTGCTGGGTTTTGGTATCAGGATTATGTTGGTCTGATAAAATGATTTGGGAAGGATTTCCTCTTTTTGGATTGTTTGAAGTAGTTTCAGAAGAAATGGTATCAGCTCCTCTTTGTATGTCTGGTAGAATTCAGCTGTGAACTCATCTGGACCTGGGCTTCTTTTGGTTGTTAGGCTATTAATTGCTGCCTCAACTTCAGCACTTGTTATTGGTCTATTCAGGGTTTCAATTTCTTCCTGGTTTAGGCTTGGGAGGATGCAAGTTTCCAGGAATTTATCCATTTCTTCCAGGTTTACTGGTTTATGTGCATAAAATTGTTTGTAGTAATCTCTGATTGTAGTTTGTATTTCTGTGGAATCAGTGGTGATATCCCCTTTATCGTTTTTTTATTGCATCTATTTGATTCTTCTCTCTTTTCTTTTTTATTAATTTGGCTAGTGGTCTATTTTGCTGATCTTTTAAAAAAACCAGCTCCTGGATTTATTGATTTTTTGAAGGGTTTTTTATGTCTCTGTCTCCTTCAGTTCTGCTCTGATCTTAGTTATTTCTTGTCTTCTGCTAGCTTTTGAGTTTTTTTGATCTTGCTCCTCTAGCTCTTTCAATTTTGATGTTAGGATGTTGATTTTAGGTCTTTCCTTTCTTCTCATGTGGGCATTTATTACTATAAATTTTCCTCTAGACACTGCTTTAAATGTGTCCCAGAGATTCTGGTATGTTTTGTCTTTGTTCTCGTTGGTTTCGAAGAACATCTTTATTTCTGCCTTCATTTCATTATTTATCTAGTCAACATTCAAGAGCTGGTTGTTCAGTTTTCATGAAGTTGATCGATTTTGAGTTAGTGTCTTAATCCTGAGTTCTAATTTCATTGCACTGTGGTCTGAGAGACTGCTATGATTTCCATTCTTTTGCATTTGCTGAGGAGGGATTTACTTCCAATTATGTGGTCAGTTTTAGAGTAGGTGTGATGTAGTGCTGAGAAGAATGTATATGTGGATTTGGGGTGGAGAGTTCTGTAAATGTCTATTAGGTTTGCTTGGTCTGGGTCAGAGTTCAAGTCCTAGGTATCCTTGCTAATTTTCAGATCTGTTGATCTGTCTAATATTGAGAGTGGAGTGTTAAAGTCTCCCACTATTGCTGTGTGGGAGTCTAAGTCTCTTTGTAGACTTTACATACATTAAGAACTTGCTTTATGTTTCTGGGTGCTCCCATATTGGGTGTGTATATACTTAGAATCATTAGCTCTTCTTGTTGCATTGATCCTTTTACCATCATGTAATGCTCTTCTTTGTCTCTTTTGATCTTTGTTGGTTTAAGTCTATTTTATCAGAGACTAGGATTGCAACTCCTGCTTTTTTTTTTTGCTCTCCATTTGCTTGGTAAATCTTCCTCCATCCTTTTATTTTGAGCCTATGTGTATCCTTGCAAGTGAGATGGATTTCCTGGATACAGCACACCGATGTTTTTTAACTTTTTCTCCAGCTTGCCAGTCTGTGTCTTTTGATTGGGGTATTTAGCCCATTTACATTTAAGGTTAATATTGTTATGTATAAATTTGATTCTGCCTTTTTTAATAGTAGCTGATTATTTTGACCATTAGTTGATGCAGTTTCTTCATTGTATCGATGATCTTTACCATTTGGTACATTTTTGGAGTGGCTGGTAATGGTTGTTCCTTTCTACATTTAGTGCTTCTTTCAGGAGCTCTTGTAAGTCAGGCCTGGTAGGATGAAATCTCTGAGAAATTGCTTGTTTGTAAAGGATTTTATTTCTCCTTCGCTTATGAAGCTTCATTTGGCTGGATATAAAACTCTAGGTGGAAAGTTCTTTTCTTTAAGGATGTTGAATATTGGCTCCCACTCTCTTCTGGCTTGCAGGGTTTCTGCTGAGAGATCTGCTGTGAGTCTGATGGGCTTCCCTTTGTGGGTAACCTGACCTTTCTCTCTGGCTGCCCTTAGCATTTTTTTCCTTCATTTCAATCCTGGTGAATCTGATGATTATGTGCCTTGGGGTTGCTCTTCTTGAGGAATATCTTTGTGGTGTTCTCCATATTTCCTGGACTTGAATATTGGTCTGCCTTGCTCAGTTGGGAAAGTTCTCCTGGATAATATCTTTAAGAGTGTTTTCCAGCTTGGATTCATTCTCTCTGTCACAGTCAGGTACACCTATCAAACACAGATTGGGTCTGTTCACGTAATACCATATTTCTTGGAGGCTTTGTTCATTTCTTTTTACTCTTTTTTAATCTGATCTTGCCTTCTTGTTTTATTTCATTGAGTTGATCTTCAATCTCTGGTATCCTTTCTTTTGCTTGGTCGATTCAGCTATTGAAACTTATATATGCTTCGCAGAGTTTTTGTGTTGTGTTTTTCAGCTCCATCAATTCATTTATATTCTTCCCTAAGCTGTTTATTCTCAATAGCATTTCATCAAACCTTTTTTCAAGGTTCTTAGTTTCTTTGCATTGGGTTAGAACATGATCTTTTAGCTCAGAGAAGTTTGTTATTACCTACTGTCTGAAGCCTGTTTCTGTCAATTCATCACAGTCATTCTCCATCCAGCCTTGTTCCCTTGCTCGTGAGGAGTTGTGATCCCTTGGAGAAGGAGAGGTGTTCTGGTTTTGGGTGTTTTCATCCTTTTGCACTGGTTTCTTTTCATCTTTGTGGGTTTATCTACCTGTGGTCTTTGTAGTTGGTGACTTTCAGATGGGGATTGAGTGGATGTCCTTTTGTTGATGATGAAGTTATTTCTTTCTGTTTTTTAGTTTTCCTTCTAACAGGCCCCTCTGCTATAGGACTGCTGGAGGTCCACTCCAGACACTGCTTGCCTGGGCATCACCTGCAGTGGCTGCAGAACAGTAAGGGCTGCTGACAGTTTCTTTTTCTAAAAATATGGAACACTTCACAAATTTGCATGGAATCCTTGGGCAGGGGCCATGCTAATCTCTGTATTGTTCCAATTTTTGTATATGTGCTGCCAAAGCAAGCACAAAACTTCAGGCTTTTAACCTCTTTGGGGAGATAACACTGAAAACCTGAGAAGCTTTTGTGACACTGGGCCCACATTCCCCCGACCTGACCATATTTTGCTAGGATAGCCCCTGCCCTATTTAGACAGAGAATGAGCTCTCTGAGTCACCACCATCATCACCCACCCTTCCTGATGTCAAACAGCCAAGCTTCCTCAATTATGTCACAGACACACAGGGTCTAGTGGGGATGGAGGGCTCTGGGGTGGATGGCTGACACTTCTTACTGTGTCCCCTTGGGCAAGTTACTGAACCTCCCTGTGCCTCAGTTTCTACACCTGAAAAATGGACATATTAAGAGTCTTTATTGTATGTTTGTTGTAAAGATTTAAAAGCATAATAAGGACAGTCCCTGGCACATAATAAATGTTGAATAAACAAGCCTCCTTCTTCTATATTCTCCTATAGGAATATGGGAGATGAGGACAATTTGGAACAGCCTGCCTTGCTAGGTCATTTGCTTCAAACATGAAATGTAAACTGAGCATTTAGAAAACACCTTTGGTAGCTCTAGTTCAGAAAAGGGTTCTTGGGGTTTCTCCCATAGTCCCTGCTCCATCCTGTTCATGGGCCCCAAATACAAACAGCATTTGTATATGAATAGTACTCAGAGGGGAGGAAGCAAGGCAGACAGAAGCAGGTTCTTCCCTTCTCTTGGCAGAACTGCCCAAGAGTCTCCCAGAGGCCACAAGCATCTCACTACTGAGAGAGAACCCAGGGCTTATGGTAACCAGCCCACTCCCCTGGAGTCAGACACCATCAGCCAACTGACTTGGGGGAAAATGTCCAGGAAAAAGGTCTGAAATGACCAGTGTTACACATCAACTAATCTGTGATTCATACATATTCAGAAGGAAAGTGAGTGAAAAACCACATTTCAGACAGCTTTACATTTTCAAATTAAGTTAATAAAATAAGACTTCCAATGTAATGACAAATTAATTCTTCTTTTCATAAGTTTATTAAAATAAGCGTCTCCTATCTTCTAACTAGCGCTGACATATGCTTACATAGATACATCCCACCCAGTAACCTAATCTCCCAGCAATCTTGAAGCAATTAACTCCTTCTAATCTTGAGCTAACAAAGCCCACCACGCCAAAGGCCCCTGAGAATGCCCCTCAGCAGCCTCCCTCTCCTGCTCTGAACAGCCTGAGCTGGGTCCAATGAAGTGGCCCAGAGTGGTGATTCGGCTCAAACAACCAGATGAGTCATCACAGACCACAAGATCTTCATTAACTCCTTCTTTCTCTGCTAATTAACACAAAAGAATGAGTTGAACATCTGACAGGCAATGACTGACCCACTGCTTGGTGGTTAATGGAATGCAAATGACATCTAATGAGGGTCTCTCCTGGTAGCTTGGGCAGCTGGTCTGCTATTTTTGTTGTGGATTTTGTTGTGTTGGAGCTCCATGAAAAGAGTTTACCCAATAATTTAAACTGCAGCTGAGTTTGTAATATAAAGTCCATGCATTTACGTATGGCCAACACATGGCAGAATTAACTTAAGCTGCTAACCACGAGGTCTAGCTGAAAATACTGTAATTTAGGGGGAGAAATACAGCTTCAGATCCTTCCAAATGAAGCACGGTGTTTGTTGATTGAGTTATGCAATGCATTTTGAATTTTGTTTTAATGTGACAGTGGCAAGCATATTACCAAAATCTTGCTTTTGGGCTGTGGGGGTGGGTACTGTGCATAGCTTTTGCAATTTATTATAGTTTAAAAATGTCTACAAAACCCAAGTTTCATCATCTAAGATTTATTTTAGAATACAAAGAGAAAAAAACAGCCCAAGTATGATTTGTGTGCTGTCAATAAAATGGTGATTCAATGAAGGAGGGAGGTTCTGTAATGAAATCAATAATACAGCTCAAAGAAGAAATTTTATTGTCTATTTCTAGCTGCTAATTGACAGATTTTATAAACCAAAAGCATGATTTTTAAAAAGGTTTCTATTAAAATGCATGCTTCTTTACTACACCTGCTATCATTCCCCTCAACTTGGTGGAAAAGGCACATCTAGTTAAAATTCCAAGCTCTCTTCTCAACCCAGATCCTTAAAACCTTCCTTTTTACTAATGAATTGGCAACTCACTCATTGTAGAGACCTGGTGTTGCCCAATATTGATCCATACTAAAGCCTCACGTAAAAACAAAAAGCATAGAATGGCTATTGTAAAATTCAAAGGAATTATCACTGTATAAAATAGATTCTCTGAATTTGGACAATATCTTAGTTCATCCCACTTTTGGATATTCATTTTTTTTCAATAGTTAGAATCTGCTGTGCATTCTATGAACTTTCAAGATTAATGACAGTTTATCACTTTCTAACTAGTGGGAGGAAGGTAGTGAAAATTATTGGTTGTTGCTTGACAATTGTAAGGAATTGCCAGAAAGATGATTTCTTCCAAATTTCAAACACCTAACTCCTTCTGGATTTCAGGATCAGTCAGGAATACGCTTTTTCCTTCTTCTATACAGAATTTCTCGATGTCCCAGTCTTGAAAGGGGTGAAAATATTTATCCTTCTCTCTATTATTTGCTATTACTTCTTCCTGGAATCCCCTTTCCCTGGATTTTATCTCTACTTTTCATTCAAGTAGGTCTCAGCTTAAACGACACTTTTCACAGATTTCATGGTCACCTGAAGCGGTCCCCAGTCCCCCTCACTTCATCAGCCAAGGTTAGTTCATTCCCCATCTTTGTTGTATCTCATGGTGCTTGTTCACTGGCCCCTAAAATCCCTGCGAACAAAGACCTTGCTTGCTGCATCCCCAGCAGATGGAGCAAGGCCCAGTACACAACAGGGGCTCAGTCCATGTCTACAGAATGAGGGTGGGGATGAGGGAACATGAGACACTCCCTGCAGAGCTTAGACTTATGCATCTTGGCAACTTTGCTCCTCTATGTTCTTTGCTAAATTGCCCTTTTCCCTTCTCCATCCTGGGAAACCCGGCTTAGGCTTCAAGACTCTGTTGAAGGTTCTTTGTCCCAGCCTTCTCCAATCTCACAAAGCAGAATTTATATTTCTACTCTTAATGGGTTTAAACTTCTGGCCACTGGCTTGTATGGATTATATGTCTCTGTCTCCTGGGCTAACCTGTGAGCTCACAGAGGCAAGAAACTTTGTCTAATTCTACTTTGAATTTCTCACACCAAGGCCAAGGCCAGGAATTTAAGTCCTCAAAAAGAAATAAATGTAACCATTAAGCTATCATTCTATGTTTAAGGAGAAAGCCTTGTCTTTCATTAGGGAACTCTAGCATAAGTAACCGTAACAGAGAACTGACAACCCTTTCAGAGAGGTGACAGGAATACACACAGGTCACACACTTACGCACTTAACCTCTAGTCCCCATAATGCTCTACAAAACATCCCCACTTGACAGATAAACAAACTGAGGCTCCAAGAAGTTAGGTAACATGCCCCCAGTGCTCAGGTAGCATGGAGCGATGGTAGGAATCAAACCCATTTTGAAATCAGGTGAAACCTGATGTTCCTCTTGACAACCTTAAGTATCATTTGTTGAGCTTTAACATTAAATCACCATTTTGATGGTTTCTTGTGAGAAATTCCCAGTGGGTATGAATTTCTATATTGATTCCATCTTGGTTGTTCAACTGAATAGAGGACGTCTTACTGCAGGGGGCAGGCAGAGTTGGTGAAACTGAGTCATTGGTATGTATGTTATTTTAAACTATCCCTTCCACAAACCTTAAAGCATCGCAGCTCCTCATGGTCGGATAAGAAAAAGGTAGGAGAGAAGAGAGGAAATAAAGCAAAGAGAACAGTGTTCTACTCTCTGCAGACCAGTAGTACTGTGTCAATAATTGCAGACGTTTGCATGAAATAATTTGAGGCCCTTGAAACTCTACCAAATTCCATGTCTTGGTGTCCCCATCTACAACAGGACCTTCCTGGTACCTGCCCCAACCAGTTCTGTGGGAATCAGGAAATGGAAAAAAAATGACATTTTAAGTAGAAAATGCCTTTAAAGAAACATTTTCAGCCCGTCATGGTGGCTCACCCCACCTAGCACTTTGGGAGGCCGAGGTGGGAGGATCATGAGGTCAAGAGATTGAGACCATCCTATCCAACATGGTGAAACTCTGTCTCTAATACAAATACAAAAATTAGCCAGGCATGGTGGCGTGTTGAGGCAGAAGAATCACTTGAAGCCAGTAAGCGGAGGTTGCAGTGAGCCGAGATCACGCCACTGCCCTCCACCAACCTGGCGATAGAGTGAGAGTCTGTCTCAAAAAAACGAAAAAGAAAAAGAAACATTTTTAGTAATTATGGGTCCAGAGTGCCATTACCATCACTTGGTTACACCTTTCCAAACTTTGAAAAAGTCTTTGGCAATGTTTTCAGCCAACTTAGCAGCAGAATGCCCATTTCCACTGCACGCGACTCTGGGAATCAGAAGTCCTGGAGCGGGCAGCTTGGCTCTACCTCAGTTGATAGCAGGTGTTTGCTGAAAACCAGTATTAAGCATGGAGGCAGGGTCGGAGTGGGGGCTCACACCTGTAATCCCAGCAGTATGGGAGGCTGAGGTAGGAGGATCTCTTGAGTCCAGGAATTCAAGACCAACCTGGCCAACAGAGGGAGACCCAGTCTCTACAGAAAAATTAAAACTTAGCCAGGTGTGGTGACACTCACCTATAATCCCAGCTACTTGGGAGGCTGAGGTAAGAGGATCCCTTAAGCCCAGGAGAGTAAGGTTGCAGTGAGACATGATCACACTGTTGCACTTCAGCCTGGGTGTGACAGTGAGACACTGTCTTAAAAAAAATCATGAAAATGAGCCTGATTAGTGCAAGTTGTGGAGGATTTCAAGCTCTTCACACATGACATTTATAAACATGGGAACTTCAGAGGCAAGGAAAAATTGCATTTCAGAGTTGGATACCGTAGTTGGGTTGGTTTTAATGATCAAACAGGTATGGTGGGCC